ACATGTAAATTTAAGGGTGACATGGAGGAGAGAGATTGGGGGTGACGTGAAAAACTGAGTCACATCACCATTTATCTGACGACAGGTATAAAATTAAAAAAAAATAGTTAGACATTAAAATAAAAAATTTAATAAGTATTAATTGGAAATAAGTCCTATTTAGATGTACTTAAAATATATTTAAGCCTATATATATATATATATATATATATATATTTATATATGTTTTTTTTTTCATTTCTATTGATTTGGTGATTTTAATTTATGTTCATCACTTTAATCTATTTGGCCAATAATTTCTCGATCCTAGAATCTAAGTTAAATCTTAAAAGTATTGCCTAGATTTTGATCTGATTAAAATTATTCAGTGGTTTATTATCCTAGGAATATATTTCAAACTATTGATTGCTTTTTAACTGTGATCTTAACACTGAACAATTTGTTAAATATTTGAGGAATCAATCTTTAAGGAATTGTCTTAGAGATATATTTTCAAGAAATTGAAATATATAATTTTAGCATGTTGTATCAATATTAATAGAATCGATTGCTATATATCTCACTCAATCACAAGAATACAAAGATGGCGATAGATGAAATTTAATCCTAATTTTTCTAAATTATTTTTAGATAAAACTTTCACTTGTTTTCCTAAAATTTTAGTTTTTATAAATTTTCCATGAAAATCATCAATTAACCTCTTTGTACATATATTCAATTAACCTATACATTAGTAATTAACACACTTTAGCTTGCTCTCTTAAGACAATATCTCAGAATTCATCAGTTATTACTTGTAAATGATATGATTCACTTGCCGTATGTAAAAATCATAACAGTTGGTATTTGATTATTTTTCATGAACAATGACCATGGTCAACAAGATGTGGATCCATGGTGACAAAACAAATGATTTTGTTGTCGTTGAGAAGATACTTCACTCTGTGTCGCCAAAATTCAATTTTGTTGTTTGTTCCATTGAAGAAGTTTATGTCATCAAAGACCTTTTAAAGTTCCTTGCAAATTCATGATCGAAAAATTTGCTAACAAGAGAAGGAGGAGCATGCATTGAAGGCTTCAATATATAATCATTCCATAACTAGAGGAGATCGTGGAAGAAGAAACAATAATTGTACTTATCAAAATCACCATAAATAACATTAGAATCATTCCTAAAGGAGAGGAAGAGGACAAAAAGGCCATCACTCTACATTTTTTAGAACAAAGTTAGCAGATATATTTGATGTTGAGTGTTTTCGATGCCATAAGTATGGCCATTATTGATCAGAATATCAAGTCAATTTGAATAATGGATATGGAGAAAGAACTAACTTTGTTGAAAATGAAGAAGTGTCTTTGCTAATGGTGAGTCATGTCAAAGAAGAAACACAAGAATTTATGGTACTTGGACACATATTGCAGTAACCATATGAGCGGTGACAAGTCTACATTTTTTGTGTTAGATGAATCTTTTCATGACAATGTAAAGTTTGGTGATAATTCAAGAATCTTTATGATGGGAAAAGGAGAGGTAATAATTCAAACAAAGAGCAATGTTATTCAGACTATATCTAACGTTATCTTTGTTTCAGATTTGAGGACAAATTTGTTAAGTATTAGGCAACTGCAAGAAAATGATATGAAATTTTCATTAAAGATGGGGTTTACAAAATTCAAGATGGAAAATTGGGGTTGTTTACTAGGGTTGATATGCCACCAAACTAGATGTTTCCATTGTACCTCCACACCATCACCAACTCATGTTTTTCTACAAGGTTGAAAGATGAAAGCTGACTTTAGCATTTTCGGTATGGGCATTTAAATTTTGGAGATTTAAAAACGTTACAGCAAAAGAATATGGTGATGGGCCTCCCGTAAATTCATATTCCTTCTCAAGTATGTGAAGAATGTGTTATTGGTAAACAACAAGGGGAATCATTTCAAAATGGAAAATCATGGAGAGCAAGAAATGCATTTGAACTTGTGCATTCAAACTTGTGTAGACTCATCACTCTGATGTCAAATGGATGTAAACGATATTCTATATCATTCTTTGATGATTTTAGTAAAAAAAAAGCTTGGATTTATTATTTGCATGAAAAATATAAAGCTCTCGTAACCTTAAAAAGTTTCAAAGCTCTAGTTGAAAAATAAGCAAATACTTTAATAAAGGTGTTGTGCAGTGATCGTTGTGAAAAATACAATTTAGATGAAGTTTGTTATTTTTTGCAATGAGCAAGGACTAAAGAAATAATTAACTACAACATATATGCCTCAATTAAATGGAATTTGCAAAAGAAAGAATCGCACAATTGTAAAATGGTATGAAGCCATTTGACAAGGAGTGGAGTTCCAAAAGGTTTGTGGCTTGAAGCAGTTAGTTGGAGTGATCATATTTTGAGTATGAGCTCAACCATAGCTGTATAAAATATCACACAAGAAGCTTAGAGTAAACAAGGACTAGTTGTAGATTACTTTAGAATTTTTGGGTGTATCACCTATGCCCATGTTCCTGACTAGAAGAGAAATATGCTTGATAACAAAAGAGAAAAATGCATTTTTTTTTGTGTTAGTGAGCATTCAAAAGTATACAAATTGTACAATCCTATCACTAAGAAAATTGTTACTAGCCATGATGTGGCATATGATGAGGATTAGTTTTAGAATTGAAATGTAGACAAAGCTAAACAACAAATACAAGCAGATTTTGATGGTGAAAATAAAGATGTAAAGCAACAACTAATAGAACAATTGCAAAATGAGCAACAAGTAGTTGAACCCACAAATGAGCGTCCTCAACGTAACAAGAAGAGACCTGCGTGAATGGAGAATTTTGTGATAAAAGGAATTAATAAAGAGGAAGTTACTTATTTTGCTTTATTTCCATATTATGATTTTATAGCTTTTGAAGTTGTTAAAGAGTCCAATTAGCAAAAGGAAATGAATGAAGAAATGGCAGCTGAATACAACAACACTTAAGAGCTGTCTGATCTTTAGAAAAGGCAAAAAAACAATTGGTGTAAAGTGAATTTACAAGACAAAACTGAAGGAAAATGGTGAGATTGATAAATACAACGCGCACTTAGTATTTAAAGGCTATAAGTTGGAATTTGGTGTTGATTATAAAGAGGTGTTTACTCTTATTGCTTGTAATAATACAACCCAGTTGGTGATTGCTCTTGTAGTTCAAAATTCATAGCCTATATTTCAATTAGATGTGAAGTCGACATTCCTACATGGTGACTTGAAAGAACAAGTATTTGTTGATCAAGCTCTTAGATATGTGAAGCATGGAAATGAGCACAAGGTGTACAAGTTAAAGAAAGTGTTGTACAGATTGAAACAAGCATTAAGGGTTTGGTATAGTTGCATCAAAGCTTACTTTATACAGAAGGACTTTCAAAAGTGTCTGTATAAGCATACACTTTTTATCAAGGTTGGTGATGGAGGTAAGATAATTATCGTTTTCTTGTATGTTGATGATCTTATGTTTACTGGGAATGATGTTGCCATGTTTGACAAATTTAAGAAATCCATGATAGTTGAGTTTGATATAATTAACGTTGGCATGTTACATGACACATTACGTTTTAGGGATTGAAGTGATACAATTTGCTGCTAGAATTTTTATTTATCAAAAAATGTATGTGCATGAAGTTTTAGACACATTTGAGATGAAGGATTGTAATTTTGTTGGCACACTAATTGAAGTTGGTTTAAAGCTTGTGCGAGGTTTCGAAAAGAAAAAAAATTGACATCTTTTACAAGCTTGTGAGAAGTTTGATGTATTTGACAAGTATAAGACATGACATTAAGTTTGTTGTAAGTTTTATTAGTTGATCCATTGAGTGCTTCGATGAGATTCATTTACTTGTTGCAAAGAGAATACTTCAATTTTTGAAAGGTACAACTGATTATGGATTATTTTTACAAGAAAGGTAAAAAAACATATTTGTTTAGCTTTATAGAGAGTGTTTATGCTGGTGTTCTTGATAATAGAAAGAGTAATTAAGACTATGCTTTCATGCTGGAAAGGTGTTTATGCTGGTGTTTTTGATTATTTTTGTTTTTAGTTGCACTTCTTTTTGATACTTTGCAAAAGAAATATATAATGGTAAAACTGAGAAGATGCTTTTGAAGTTGATAGTTGGATTAAAGAAGATTGTTACAAATCCTAGCCTACATAATTAGTGAACAACATAGACATCATTAACGTAACAATTAAAGATCAAAGGAGATCTTTTTACCTTAAGAAAAATTTGAAAGAATCTTTTTATATTTATAAAAATCCTAAATGATGTTTTTGTATTAAAAAAAAATACAATAAAAATAATATTAAAATTATTTAATTAATTATTAATAAATATTAATATATATCTTAACTGTACATATAAGATTATAAGAAGGACATAAGATTATGTTTGAATTTATAACAAAGAAGCAACACAATAAGTTAAAAGTAGTGCCAAAAATAATAAAATGAAATAGTAAAAAAGTAATTCCTTAATCATAAGAACAATAACTAACTATATTTACCTTTTATAATTGGGCCAAATGGTTAGAAAGAACAACGACTAATTATTTTTATAACTATTAAATAAAAGAAAAACCTTACTTATAAGAAAAAACCAAAAAAAGTTTTTATTTAATAAATTTTTGTTAATAAAAATATCTAAAACAGGATGACAAAAGAAAGGACTGATTTTTATTTTTATAAATTTAATAATCCCCGGTTGATCTCAACCCAAATCAAATTTTCAGCAAAAACAACATTTTAATTAAATAATATTTCATAAGCACTAAAATTAATAAAGACGTATATAATTAGTTGAAGAATAGAACAATACTTATTTTTCTTCAACCCCTGTGATAACTGGCCCAAACTAAGATGTCCCAGTTCGAACAAATTGGGCCGGTTCAGCCCGTTACCAAACTTTTGACAAAAAAAAAAGGCTGTACCAAACTCCATCATCACCAAGCCAAGCTTTCACTTCCTTTTTATGAGTTGGAAGACAGCCTGGTTTGAATTCTGTTAATTTAGCTTGCAACAACGAACCAATTCCTTCGAAATTACAACAATGCCCGAAGTAGTTCCACCATCATCAGTATCCTCGTTAACGGTAGCAAGGATAGAAAAGTAATTCCAACTCACACCTCAAAATTACCACCGGAACCAGCCAGATCCTCTCCATCACCCCTTTTCCTCTCACTCCTTTTTTCTATCGAAGCCAGATCCGACAAACCCTAACCCTAACTCCCAAATCAATCGTTTCTCTGGTTTCGATTCTTGGAATCGGAATCAACATGGGCGATTTCAACCTCGCCCTGGTGATCGTGGCCGTGGTGGTGTGCGTGATCGTGTTCCTCGTCAATGTTTACCTTCTGGTGAACTACCAGCACCCCGACGATGCCAACCAGGCTTACTTCCCCAAATTCGTTGTCGTTTTGGGCCTCTCCGTGGCCGCCATCTCGATCCTCATGCTTCCCGCTGATGTGGCGAACCGGCAAGCGTGCCGCCACGCGATATACAACGGCGCGTGTAACCTCACGCTCCCGATGAAGGACTTGTGGCTCGCCGTGTACATCCTCGACGCGGTTCTCGTCTTCTTCGTTATTCCATTCGCCATGTTCTACTACGAAGGCGACCAGGACAAGTAGGTGGTTTGTTTCTCTCGCGTTGAACCAAATCGCGTCAACGCGCGTGGCTTGTTTTGGTTGATTTGAAATGTTGGGTGTTTGTTGTGTGCAGGAGTATGGGTAAACGGATTAAGAGTGCGTTGTTGTGGATGGTGACAACGGCTATAGTGTGCGCTCTCGTGCTGGGTATTTTATACGGTATGTAATGTATGCATGCGATGCTCTTTGTTTGCTTTGAAGACACCTTTTCACCTGTTCTATATTTGTACATGCTGGTAAGGTAGGATTGAGTTGTGTGCTATGGTTTTGTTGAAGTGTATTCTCAAGGATTAAGAGGATTGTGGGAATGGGAATCTTGGCTGGTTGGGTAATGGATTGGAGTTGTGTGATGCGTGTTTTGGTAGTTCTGCCTCTCATTATGAAAATGAAAGGTGGATTTTGTGTTGTTAGTGTACGTGGGGCAATAATTAGAACTAGGGAAATAGTGGGATTTATCACGTACGTAGGTTTTTCACGGAAGTATGATTGGCAGAATTTTTTTGTTGTGGGGTGCTCTTTGTAGGAATGATGGTGCATAGCTGCATTGCAAGCAGTGGAGGAGGATTAGTTTCAGAGTTTATGTGTGAAACAGTGTCTGGTGATGGGTGCATTGCAAGCAGTGGAGGAGGATTAGTTTCAGAGTTTATGTGTGAAACAGTGTGTGGTGATGGGTGCTGTAATGTGACAGTTGAGGAAGCAGTCTTGGACTAACAGGATTAGGGGAAGTGGGAACCTTGGTGTGTTTGCTTCAGTTGTGAATATTGGGTTAGGTGGTTAGATAATGGATTGTATTTGTTTGAAAGTCATTTTGTATAACAGCCTCTTAACATATAGAAAATACGGTTTTTCAATAAATGAAAGACATGGGTTTGGTAAGTAGAAGTGGGAGTAAGAGTGAAAATTAATCTGCATCATTTGCAGTGGTTTAAAGGAACTAGGGAAGTGCTGCTTACCTAAGTGTTGGGCTTCATTAGTAATTACTATTAAGTGATGTTAGAGTGATGATGCATTAACTGAAGGAATGGTTTGTAGTGGATTATTGTTAGCAAAAGTGGGATGGATTTAGGCAAGGATAAATGAGATTGGGGTTGGTCTTTGTAGCAAGAGTAGTGCATTGATAGCAGCAGTATCTGTTTCAAAATCTATGGGTGTGAAACTGTGTTAGACATAGACATTGTGCTTTGTAATATAGGATGGGCAGGCGGGAAAGTCTTGGGCTTATTTTAAAAAAAAAAATGAATTTATTGAAATTTCAACTCAAAAAACCTGTTTTATTTCCTTTGCAATGTTCACATTTTGATGTTGGACTTGGAAAATGAACATATATTTAAAGCTTTTCTATATAAATTATAAAATAAGTAATTAAAATATTTAAAATTATATTCATATGTTTAAAAGGCTGCTCAATTCATAATAATCCCTAAAGTCGATTTTCCATTAACAGAATGTAATCATTGCAACGATAAGGATAATGATTTTCATTTGTCATTTCAAATTCAATAAAAGCACCGCACAATCTACCTACAATCTCCAGTAAATATTTCAAATCTGATGTGCTGTAATATGAGCTTTAAGTTTTGTTTGATTGTGCTATTATTCCATGAAGGGCTTGTTGGTAAGGTGGACTTTACTGTTAGGCATCTCTCTTCATCCACAACTTCATTTCCGAGCACATGGACATTCAGTAGTAGTCAACAATGTATTGGAAATGGTGTCCATCAGGTCTTTTTTCTACTAGTATATTCGTTTTTGCTAGTATTGTTGTTTCAGAGGTAATAATTTACTGTTTCTCATTCTGTTTTTTCTCCACATTGTTCTAAAAACAGTGCTCAGCATACACTGCTAGTCCTTCGTCAGAGAAAACATGGACCATGCGTTCTACCTTTCCAGAATATGTGGTTGCACTTGCTACAATTGTTGGATCTGTGCTTTTTGCTGTAAGCCCATTCTTCATAAAATTTAATTATTCCATTTTAAAATCCTACTCCATATTTGGTCTAGGATTTTAAGATTGTTTGGCTAAAGAAATACATGTAGTTATAATTTTTACTGTGTGTGTGAATTAGAATATTGTATTATTCTATTCACTTTCGCAATTGAGATTTTGTTAATACCCTAAAATATAATAAAAATCCTGAACACAAATAGCAGTCTTTTGTTATGGATTTATTTAAGTACTAGTTTTCCTATTCTTATATTTAACCATTATTTTCTCTTTGTTTCCAGATATTTGGTGGCGTTGGTATTGCTTGTCTTCCATTAGGACTTTTATTTTCATTTATCCGGCGTCCAAAGGCTGTTATCACTCGCTCACAGTATATCAAGGTGCTCTATGTTGTTACTGAAGGAGATATGTTATTTTGTTGATTTTTGTGTATTTGGTTACATGATATACAATATTATAGTTATGTTGTGCTTGGTTGATTACTTTAGGAAGCTACTGAACTGGGTAAAAAAGCAAGAGAACTAAAGAAAGCAGCTGAGGCACTCCATCAGGAAGAAAGAAGTGGTTCAAAGGGTAGAAAGTTTCGTAAAAATGTGAAGGAAGTAGGAAAGGTAAACACATATAGATGATTTATGAGTTGTATTTACTGTATTCTTTTAAGTATTTTTGTAGTGATCCTTGTTGGCTTGGGCTACAATAGTTTGATGCATGCTGTTCTAGTTTGTGGTACAAAGTAACAGTTGCTGAAGTATTCATAGTTTGCGGGGGATTCTAGTTATTTACTTATCCATCTCACCTAATTTTCTAGGAGTTGTTTCAATTGGAAGAAGATGTAAAGCTTCTAGAAGAGATGTATCCACAAGGGGAAAAGGTCAATAGTCAGGCTACTAAATTATTTTTAACTTTCAGGCATAATCAATGTGTAATGTTTTCCCTGCTGACTAATCTTGCATGAATACAGGCTGAGACAACTTGGGCATTAACAGTTCTTGGTTATCTGGCAAAACTTGTTTTGGGAATTTTAGGGTAAGCTATGATGCATAATGCTTGATCAATCATTATGCTTTGAGCTTTTGTGCATAGGTTTACAAAGGTTGCTTATTTTAACAGGAGTCATGTTTCGTATCTAATCTAAGTTATTGAAAACCGTGATAGGTTGATTGTTTCAGTGGCATGGGTTGCTCATATTATTATCTACCTATTAATTGATCCTCCCCTTTCTCCTTTCCTGAATGAAGTCTTCATCAAGCTGGATGATGTCTGGGGTATGTTAGGAAACTCAAGGCTATTTTGCTTTCCTTCAGCTACATATGTAATAGTAGATATGTTATATACTAATATTCATTCAGCTATTCTGTATGATATATGTAATTTGCTCTTTCATCAGGTCTTCTTGGCACTGTTGCATTTGCATTTTTTTGCTTCTACCTTCTCCTTGCTGTGATTGCTGGTGCCACGATGCTTGGACTGAGACTAGTTTTCATTACTATACATCCCATGAAGTAATTCAACTGTGCAGTCAGATCTATCATTTCACTATTCATTTGTGGTAATTTGATGCACTTATTGGTATCTCATAATGTGATATTATATCTGGGCTCTGGCAGGTGGGGAGCAACTCTCATGAACTCTTTTCTGTTTAATGTGGGCCTTATCCTTCTTTGTTCAATCAGGTCAGTAGAGTCACTTTACATTCCAAATGGGATGTTATGTGTATTGAAGTTAAAGTTTCTAGCTGTGTGTGTGAAACCAAGTCATGGTTTGATTTTCCCCTCAAATTTTTAAATTTGGAAGTAGAAAGGGAAACCAAGTCATTGTTTGTGTAGTATTATAAGTGTTTTGGAGTGTAGCAAGTGGTGTTTCATACGGACAGTAAGGTTCTTGTTATGTTGTCATGATAATGTCATCCTGTACGAACTTGCTGAAAGTTCTATTGGGTTACTTTTCAGTGTGATCCAGTTCTGCTCCACAGCATTTGCCTACTACGCTCAAGCAACTGCAGCCCAGGAAATATTTGGCCACACTTTGGAGTCTCTTCGTGGAATTAAATATTTGTACAAGTGAGTTAATCTGGATTTTCTTCTACCTCTCCTATCCTGCTCTCTTATAGGGCAAAAATGGTACCTTCCTTTTGCTAACTTGTAAATTTAGAGCACCCAATGGGTTTACCCTCTACTTGTTCCAACTTTTAATTCAAAGAAATCCTGTAGTTTCGGTTGAAGTTCTATATGTAATTTTGCTTCACACACTCGGAAATCTACAAGCTAACACAGTTTAATAAATATAGTTTGATTAACTGGTTATCGCATTACAGGTACAATGTATTTCAAATTGCATTTGTTGTTTTGGCTGGATTGACTTTTGTGTATTACGCTGCCTTTGTAAGTTTTCCTCTGGAATTTCCCCCCCCCCTCTTTTTAATGCATGCCATGTTAATATTTTGTTGATGCTGAAAGGTTTTTTACATGGAAATATCAGGGATGGAGAAGAAAAAAGCTTAGTGGCAGGTTCCAATTGTCTACATGAGTTATGGCCTTAGCCTGGAAAATAGACTCTGGAGTGAGCCATCGGGGATTCCTTGTCTCATCTTATCCTTTGGAGTGGTTTTTATATTCGGATGTTTTGGCCTAGTTTTGTTTTATGTTGAAAGCTATAGAGCAAGCTGATCATCATCTGAGTAGAATAATTTGATGCGATCGAATCATTAGTTGGGTGCACATGCTGCAACTTTGGTCTTTACTTCTGTCGCCCTTGTATGTATTATTCCTTTGTTTGATTGTTACATTCTACTCATTATGTAATTAAACGTAATATTTCGTGTATGCAAGAGTACTGGGTTCCCACAATACTGAGATAATGCCACCCTTGCCAAGGAGAAATTGTACGAGCAGGACAATTTTTATTTTTATGAGCAAACGTGTGTTACCTCATTCTTTGTATAATAGGTTTCTTTTGATAGGAACTGGTGGGGCTTTCAGAATATGTATCATCGCCGTTTCGAAGTCTTCTGCATTTGATGATTATGTAGCCATTTTTTTTCTTAGCTGAAGTATCTAGAGGCTTTCTCTTCTCTCCGTGTCTCCTCACTACGTTCGATCTACAATTCATCCATGTAGATCATTGTATTTTACATTATATGCAACAATTACATATAATAATCGCGAATAAATTGAGTACTATATTCTCAAATCTTAAATATGTTCTAGCCGCACTATCCCTTTCAATATACTGCTTTGAATTAGAACTTAAATTCAGAGCATTTTTTTTAATATTGGTTTTATTATATAAAACGACATTGATTTTATCTACGCATGTGTATGGATTTACTACAGGCTTCAATTTATAGACAAAAAGTATCAGTTGAATATATACAAAAAACTGCAAGAAAATGATTTGTATTTTGAATCTCTTCGGTCAAATTGTATTTTATAATTGTTTCATGACAGTATGTATCAGGAGTACAATGCAAGGTTGGACACATGATTAGACAAAAAGAAGATTATGGATGATAGATCTAATTGTTTAACTGAATCAAACTTTGCATAAACGAATATGCAGAAAAATAGAAAATAATATAAAAAATGAAATAGTTTAAATGAACTATTTAAAAATTGACATTATTAGACAAATTTATATTTAAAACACTTGTTAAAAGACTATTAATATTTACATTTTCTTAAAATGACCAATGCATTTTATGATATACATTTTATACAAAAAATATGAGAAAAATACACCAAACATGATAGAGTAAAACAAGGTTGAGAATGCAATCAAGGTTAATCAAGGATTAATATTGTGCATGTCATTTAATATTGAACATCTCCATAATTAATGAGTATCTACAAAATAACAAGATAAAATATAAAAAATTATACAAAGATAAAATATAAAAAATTATACAAAGAAAAATAAAGAAAAATAATTTGTACTTTATAAGTTAAATGGTCTTATCGTCAATAATGTAATAAAACTAAATTGATTCACTAATGATGATGGAGGGAGAACATAACTAAAGGTGTCAAATAATGTATCTCATACAATTCACAATTTCTTGATTCATAATCTTAAAATATTTCACAAAAAAGAATGACATATTTATCTCTATATGTATAAATATATGTACTTGAGATGTTTAACTTCGTGATTGACCTCTAATTGAAGGTTTTTTTTCTTGTAACTCCATCTAATTTTTGAGTAGTGTATATCTATGATGTTTTATATATGGTGGTTGTTTGAAACTGTGTGTCTTATTATTAATCACCAATGTAGGGACATTATTGTTGCGTTTGTTAGTACTTTGTGACTTGTTGAGATACGATATTTATACTTTCATCTACTAGTTAATAGTATTCTTTTCAAGTATATAACCTTGGATACTAGTCTAATCATTTTATATGCTAGTTGTCAATATCAACATGTGTTAGAAAGCTTAGATCCTCTTTTTATATCATGTATAATGCCACAATGACATTCTCTTGTCCATCTCTTAAATATGTATTTTTAGGAACAATATTTACACCATTTGCTTCAAAACACTTTCAATGTATAAGAATAAAGTATGTCAAAATCTTTAAAATTTTTACAATTGCATGATATATAAATTAAGGCACGATCAAATGATACTCTCTACGATCCTTGTTGGTTGACTGTAGTAATGACATAATTGAACAAAGGGATAAATTCATTTCTTTCTAATATGGAACATGCTATGCATAATGCAAATTCTTGTTAGAATAAGTTAAACACAACATGTGTAAAATTTGTCCATTTATATCAATATTAGAGACATCTCGTATTACAACATTGTAGCTTATGGTGGGGTTATTCTCACAAATTTCCTCATTGTAATGCTTTTCTTTAACATGTTCAAAGTGTCATAAGAATTGCTTTATATCAATACCAAACTTTATACAAGCTTTGAAATCAGAATTAATATTTCATTTAGTTGAGTATTTTGTATCTCAAGTGTAAACACTTCATTCATGTAATATAAGGCCCATTTTCTTTTATAACAAATTAATTTTATCTAATTATTTTCTAAAATATTGTATTTTACAATCAACTTGGTCCAAGCCTCCTCGAACTCATCTAGTATATCAAACTAATACATGCATTATTGAAATCCCTTAAAAATTGACCTCATCAAATTGACAAGGTGTTTAATTCTATTTTACATCAAGTGTCATATGCACAAACCATCATATGTCTCATGCATCACTTTAATAAGTCCATTGGTCATGACTTGATCTTGGTTAGTATAAATAGTTTGAGGTCTTGTTTGGTTGTGTGTTTTTCTAAAATTGCTCAAACAACCATTGAAAATATTTTTATTTTCATCATACAATAAAACTACACCAAAGATGAACACACCCAATGATGGTTAAAATTTAAAAATAATGCAAGGAGCCTATTTGCTCAATTGATATGATATGTAGTGTCTAGAGAGACCACTTCACCAAAATACATGTAATTGTCAGTAAAAATATTGCATTAGACAACCAACTTCTTTATACACTATACACCTTTGTCTTTTGCGTTAAAGTAATTTTTTGCATCCAACCAAGTGTATCTAACATTACCTCTATGCCCTTCAAGTGTGGTTATAAGTTGAAATGATGATGACTTTTATTGCAGTCTAGACTTTTCAACAAAATCAATCTCATCAGCTTGGACTTCAGTTATCTTACAATGCAAAGCAAGCCTGCATTGTCTTTGAAAGTTGTAATGAATGATTATACTTTTCAACAAACTCATTTATTACAAATTTTTTGTTCTTTGCTAAAGATACTGTAACGCCCCGAATTTTGTAATATTATTTTGATTATTAATATAAATTGTGAAGTTCTATTTGAATGTGTATTTGATATATATGATGATGTGAAAACATGTGATGACGTGGATGTGTATGAATATATGAAGATGATACGAGTGTGAATGTTGATTCTGTATTGAGAATGTTTGACTGTGATTGTTTTGAATTGATTAGGCTAAGTGTGTGCTGCAAGGGCATTTTCGTTGTAGCGAGAAGGTCCTGGATGAAGGAGTGATTTTGTTGCATTCTCATGTAGTGAGACTTCTCTCGCTGTAGCGAGAAGGCAACAGAAAGGAGTGCATTTTTAGGTTGCAGTCTCGCTATAGTGAGAGGGCCTCGCTGTAACGAGATTCTATAGAAACTAGAATGCAATTTTCTCTGATATTTTCGCTGTAGCGAGAGAGTGAACCTCGTTGCAGCAAGAGATGTCTCATTGTAGTGAGAATATCGCGACCAGAAGGGTATTTGAGGGGTTTAGGGTTTGAAAATATCATTTCCCATTCCTCTCTTTGAAATCTCTTCGATTCTCTCAACACTCAACCCTTTTTCACTGATTAAATTACTTCCAAAGCTGTTTGTGAGCAAGATTGAAGGTTGAGATTGTGTTTGGAGCGTTTGGAGGTAAGTTTTATGGGCTAGGGTTTCATTCCTTCGTCCCTTTCTTTGTTTTCTTGAGTTCTCATGGAGACTTCCCATGTTTTAGGGACGAAGTATAGTGTGGAGAACGTTTTCTGCTATTGTTTTGTATTGAGTCTTCATTTTGAGGTAAAGAGAGACTGTATCCTATCTCATTGTACTTAGAAATTGATTATTGTGTTATGTATTGCAAGGAAATTAGGGTAAAGCATAGAAATATGTGTATTTGATGAGAGTGAATTGATTAAGATTGAATTATGATGGAAACTTTATATGGAATGTAATGGAATGATATTGAGCATAATATGTGTGATGTAGTAGTTTGATTGTGATGGAGTTTTGATGAGGATTTAATGTTTAAGTGTAATGTGATTAAATGTGGGCATATGTGCCATGTGTGAAATTGAATATCATGATGTGATTGAGAATGTGGTTGAAATGCTTAGACATGCCATTGATTGATATTGAATATTATGAAATTGGTGAGAATGTGTGTGAATGCCATGTTGAGTGTGATTGTGTTTGAAATTTTAGAAAACTATGAATGGTTCAGCGATACACTAAGGGTGTGGAAGATGGGGGCGGTAGAAATACCTTGGAGAAGAGCCTCTTGACTCGGCCTTTGACTAATACCTTTGCTTGGGGATCCAGTACCGCACACGTTGTATCCGTGGAGCGGGGGCTATCTGACGACCATCTATGGTATGAATTGAGTAAGTCTCTGAGGTTGAGGGCATCAGGAATCTGTGATCACAGTGCCACAGTGAGTGTAACTGACGTGCAATGAGCGCACATATATGTGGATTATTTATCTGATGGTGTAGTGAGCGCATCTGTGTGTGAATAACAATGAAATATTGAAATTATTGCTTTGTGCCTGTTTGATACAGGATTGAGTTATGTTAGTAAATGTGTGAAATGTGTAAGGTAAATCTCTGTGCTTGTGTGTGATAATGTAGAGTACTTACCCTTACGTTTATTTTTCAGGTGACCAAGACAATCAGCACTAAACTCAGTGAATAGGAGGGATGAAACTGCTATAAGACTTAAGAAATTGATTTTTGAACTTTGATGTATTTAATTTGGTCTTGTAGCACTTATTTGATGTAAACTTGTAACCTTCCCTTATTTTTAAAATACCTTGTTGAACTATGTATGGAAATCGTTTGAATGAAAATTTTATTATTCCTAATTTTATGAAATTTATTTATTTGAAAATAAAAATTAAGGTGTTACAGATACTTCAATTCTTACATAACAATCAATTCTAGTCTCATTTCTCTGTTTAGTCACTTGTTTATCTATTTTATTTCCATTTCAATGTCTCTCCTTACAACAAACATATCTCTACAAAAAGTTGTAACATCATGTTTCTTTCATTTATTATTACTTTCTAACTTCAAAACTTGTTTTCTTACCGTATTCACTCCAAAATTGTCGTACCTATACATTTTTAAATTCTAACCTAACTCTTAGCTTCCAATTTAGATTTGTACTCGTCATGCTTAGTATCTTACCCAAATAAATAAAAAAAATTGTTTTCCAAGTTTAATGATTCCTCCATCATTCTTTATAAAAATAAAAACAAAAAAACCTTACAAGTACACACAAAGCAAACCTTTACAAGTTGACGTCCCTATGTGACCTATTGAAAAATACTATTTGATTAGTGATTCATACAACCCATTATAAATAATGCAAGAACAATGTTCTTAGAATGGAAGAGCTAAACA